ATTTAATCCAGCTCTCACGGTCAGTCATCATTTGTCATAATTATAATTTAATATTTTATTATTCGTCCATTTGTTATACTCATACAACGAGAAATACCGGTTTTAAAAACTACTGCATCGTGAGCAATAAGAAAGAATTAATCTTTCATTTGTAAATTGAGATAATTTGTAATTTTGTCATAATTTAACATAGCTATTTGTAGCATTAAGGCGTTAAAGCGTCTTGTCTTTTTTCAGCTACTTTATATGATTACGCATATATGCCGTGGAATATCTAATATTTTCAAAAACCTAAAATATTAACTTTACAAGTGATCGTATTAATGTCATTTACATTTTCAGTATAATATTTTTCCAGCTTATCTGTCATACATTCGAAATACACTAGTTATCGCGTTACCAAAAGATCGTAGATGTATCCTCGTACTCATAATTTTTCTAACGTTTTTAAACCCTCCTTTTAATTAAAACTGTCTTTGCATGCATCTTTGAATGCTCAAGATAACTTAACAGAGTGTATTTTATGTACAAAGATGCACAGAACGTTTTTATCGCGAATGAGAGATGATGCTCGCGTACGAAATTTCCCAATTTATAGCCGTCACATTTGGCTGCTGCCATTTCTTTGAGTCAACAATAAAATAGTAGATAATATCATTAAAATAGTAGATATTAACTGAGCCTACTTTTTATTTCACGTTTGTACGTGTCAATATTATGAGTGTTACTTTGAATTCTCAAAATTGCGGCGAAGTGTGGCGCCCTCTGTAGTATAGACGTTTCAACGGGTCAACGGCTCGAGCCTCGTGTCTGCGAACAGCTGTGCTGACGGAACACAGAGTACTGGTGGGGGCAAGGCCGCGGCTGTGGAAGGGATACGTATGGCATAACGAGTCGTAGGTCAGTGCGGCTAACGGGACCCCTCCCGGGTTCATTCACGTGTAACGGTACTTTACCGCTACAGCGACGAAGGTAAAACGCGATATAGTGCCGAAGCGATCGAGAGCGCGTTGCTCGATAAAATCGTCAATATTTCCACTTGTAGTGGTCGTAGCGACTTGAAACGAAGACTATTGGAAAGATAAAATTTCCACGCGCCCGACAGACGTAAAATCGTTCCTCTTGGTTATACAGAAATTAATTTAATTACGTGTAAATCATTGACCCTATGAACCGAGCCTATGAAATTGATTTAATTACGTGCAAATCATTGACCTTTCTGTGATATATCTTAAAAAGCGAAACTGATTAATTCTACTTTTTGTAGGTATTTTTATCTTAGTACAAGAGAACGCAATCGTAACGCTTAATTTTACGATATTAAAAAATTTACAAATATGTAATCGTGCAAAACACCTAATTTTCAAAATAAAAAGTTAAACATGTGAAAAATAATCAATTTACATATTTATATTCGTGAAACTCGTTTTACGGATTTTTGTACTTTATGAACTACAATTATATTTGTAAAATTTATTATCGGGTAATTTTGCTGGAAAAAATTTAATATATTTAATATAAAATATTTCATTAATATATCTCACACTTCTCGGTGAGCGGTAAATTTTTCACAAAATTATTTTAGAATCGTGGAGGAATTTTAAATTAAAAATACGATAAGAAATTAAAATTCTTTACGAATGTCCAATTTTTTCACATCAAAAATAAAATTTTTTTTATAAATTGTTTCTGTGTATATATATTTCTATGATAATTGTTAAAATTGTAAACTGATATTATTCAACTTTTACTACTCATTCGTAGTTTACAGTTCTTAATTAACTTCTCGAAATAATTTTTTAAAAATTTTGTTTTGGAAGGTAGCTTTCCTTTAAACTAATCGCCAAGTTCGAGGACGCGATAATCATCATGATTGATGCGAAATTAAATAGGCATTTGTTTTTGCGTAAAAAGTATTCGGTTGCCAATAGCTTTTGTATGAGATGAGGTGAAACGTCTCCGGTAATTTTGCCGATTGATCTATTTTAATTGATTTCACCGGTAATTAAATACGGGATGAAAATACAATGGGGATTTGTTCGACAGAGCGCGAGAGTCAATGGGCGTAACTGTGTAATGGGATTAACACAATCCCTTTTATTTATTCCCGCCTTCGATTTATTTATTCTCGGATGAGTAACCGGATTATGATGCGCGGCGTTACAAGTTTTACACGAGTTCGAAACCACGTGAAAAGCGGAAGCTGCGTTTCCTAGCATTGATAGAACATCCTTCGTAATCCGATATACCAAATACGTTTATACTCGATCAAAAGCGCATAGTGCTTATATATATATATATATATATATATATATATATATATATATATATATATATATATATATATGACCGCTCGCGATCAACATACCATTTACGGACGTAGCTGAAATTATTGGCGCATGATAATCAGAAATTTGATCGATAGAAATTCAATGGGTAATCCATTTCGCGAGCGCTAATTATTTTAGTCCCGAACAATATTTCGTTTTTGCGTAAAGTGTGCCGGCCGTAAAAACATGGTCGATATATCAGACAAAACAATACCGCTATATGCCGATGCAAGAGAGAATAGGTATTCGCAATGTCAGACGTGGCCAATAAATGGCGAGACTTTGTCACCCGGTGGTGTGCCAAGTTTCACGAAAAAGTTTTACGCGCGACAGGTGTTTCGTGACACGTATTTCCACGCCAGCTATTTTACATAAAATGGTTTTCTTATCTTGATGTACGGTTATTTTGCATAAGCGGCGCAAAGTTATGCAAGGATCTAAAGCGATGCGCACAGAAATACGCTCGACCGGCGTGCTTGCACACATACACACATATATACACGCACACACATATATTTATTTATTTATTTATTTGCAAAGACGCATCCACAAACGGGATTTTAAAGGTCTCGCGAAATTCGTCACTTCTGTCTGTTCTAAATAATTAAACTTCTGTACCGAACGCCAGTGAAATTTGAAATTATGCTCCATTAAGCGAATATACGATTATATCATCCTCATTATTTTCGACTGCGCTATTCGATGTAAACGAGATGTTGAAAAGTTTACGACTGCTAATTAAAACGTAGTGCTTATCAAGAATGAATTGTATGAAACGTATTGCATATTGTACGAAGTTTACTTTGTGCTTTGGGAAAATGTCGGCTACTGGAGCTAATTAAAACGCGGGGCGAAAGAACACTGAGGGATAAACCGGTCGGCCTTCTGAAACGATGCACATAAAAAACGTCATCGTTGCTACAAAGTTATATTCCTCCGCGATGTCGCGAGACGAAGAAGGAAGAAAAATACAGTGCATTATATACATCGCTGAGCGCCAAACTTCACGAATAAGTGGAGCGCGGATAAAAGCAAAGTTAGTAAGTGTATAATTAACAAGTCCGTTAAGAGAGTTCAAACTCCCGAGTATTCAGGAGTGGAAGTAGCAAGGATATAAAGACATCAGCGAGCCAAGAGAGCGTGAGACGTAAGCTCTATTACGGGAATGAATTTAAATACAAGCGTAAACCGATCAAATTTAAGCCGGTATAAATTAGCAATGATTATACCCGGTAGGAGTTTCGGCGATCTTTCTTGCGAAATGCAATTACTATCACACCCCAAGTTTCTACAAACAAAAAGCCATAATGTGCTTCTTAGCGGCTCCACTCGAGAGTTTAATCTTCATACCTAGCTGTGATTTATCCTATTATTAACGCTAGCGAACAGAGAAAGAAGAAGAGAGGGCAAGAGAGAGCGAGCGAGAGAGAGAGAGAGAGAGAGAGAGAAAGAGAGAGAGAGAGAGAAAACGATTCGTGTTATCATTAATATTAGCACATGATAAAATTGCATCCTTTTCCCATCTTTGTTTTATTTATATCAAGTTACGCGAAAAGCGACAAACTCTGCGTCTATTATGTAGGAACGAACTAAAGCCTTCATTATAGAAACTCATTTATACTGAAATGACGAAAAATAATAAGGAAGCTTCGCGAAGTTTGCGTATTACGTTGAAATTGAAAAGTGGCTGTCGTACCTCTCTCGAGAGATCACGCAGCTCGGAATTAATTACTTCGATTAGAGGGCGCCTGTCATCGCGAGAGCGTTTCTTGCGGGCCAACCCCCCGGGGGAGGCCACGACACGACCTTATCTACTCCGAAAGGTCCAACGTTCGATCCATTGACTCGTCGAGACCCTAATACGACGCACGGAACTGACGTCGGCGATAGTTTGCCCGTGTCCTAGAATCAGGCTCTGATCGACGTCCTGGTACCGGTACATCCGCTCGAGACAGACTGTCCTCGTCGGACGACACGTACGCTACCGATCCTCCGCTGTCGACAAGACGCGTCGTTCTCGTCCGACGACGATTTAAATCAGCTGCACTTGTTGTCGACGAAACGTCGCGCTCCTTCCGCAATTCCTAATCCGGATATCAAGCTCATCGAGAGAGCCTGCTCGATTTTCACGATACCCGCGATTTCCACTCGGTATGCGTTTAAGGCAACGCTCTGATATTTAAGGTAGAAATGACGTGCGGAAGACAGACCTGGGAATCAATACTATGACGATTACTATGAAATCTCCCACATTTTCGACGCATTTTGGACGGAGTAGATATTGTCTCACTGTGAGCGGATATTCTTCCCTACTTTACGCGAGACGCGGCCGCGTCCAATTCCCAGTTTTATTTGTCCGATATGAAGATCATGTTCAATGTCAGCGCGCGAGAGAAGGATCAGACAGCCACATTTCACGGCGAACGCGCAGTGAGAATACGGGCGTATGCGACTGTAAGCCACTTTGCCACTTCTCTCGCTCTGTTCCTCTATCTCGTGGGACGCGGTAACCCGCGCGACGCGATCGATCGAAATTAAAATTCGCGTCGGACGCTTTTCTCCCGCCGACTACTCTCCCTGGCTTCTCTCTAGCCCTCCGAGTAATTGGCGTTCGCCAATGTCCTTTCGAGGCCACTTACGTAATGCGCGACCCCATTTCTGTCGTTCCAGAGATGTGAGGAATGATCACGTGGGTGATGGTCGGGCTGCTTCTGGCTGCGGAAACTTGCGGCAGAAACGTCCTCTCCGGAAACGGAAACGGAAACGGAAAGGAAGAGGCGAAGCGGCGGGAGGGTCTGAAGGGCGTCAGCGTGGACGAGGAAGACACCTATCGTGGGTATCGGCGTAGAACCCGTGAAAAATGAACAGAAACGTTCGGTAGAGGTAGAAATAGAGAGCGACCGAGAGAGAGAGAGAGAGAGAGAGAGAGAGAGAGAGAGAGACACGGGTCCAATGGAAAAAAAAAGATCAAGAGATAGAGGTAGATAGAAGAGGGAAGGAAAGAGTCGAACGGAACCGTGATTTACTCGGCTAACTCGAGTTTATCCCGGCTCGCCGATCCTGCAATCGAACGCCACTAATCTCCGAACTACCGCTTATCCTTCCTACCAACTTCGCACACGTACCGCAACCTTTCCCGTCAATGACGTCGCCATGGTCTTTGTGTATCTACGATGCGCGTTTATTCCCCGTATCGGTGATGACGGGAGAGGTGGACGGCGACAACTTTCTCGATCGCGAACGGGGCAAAATCGCGCCGTACAACTTTGCATCCGCGAATCTAAGTTGTGTTTTGCACAAGACACATCGTTACTCGCCAAGTCCCTTCATGGTAGTCGGCTTGTTCAAACTCAGCCCTGCTTGTTAACTTTTGGACGGCTAGACAGCTAAACTCGCTTAATCCTTGGATGTATGTTCCCTTTAATTTTCTTTCCCCAAATAGAATTTCCGTATCTCTCGACCCGGCGCGACAACGGCTGCAATTAAGAGTTACCGCTTACGTCTTCTCCCATCCCCCTCCCCCTCCGCGTCCCCGTCGTTCTGATTGTCCCGGCGACGCATTCACTCAGTACGCCGCTCTCTGTTGCAGGTCTAACGTGCTACACTTGCGTCAACGTCAGCGATAACCAGGTATCGACGAGTCCATTAAACGCTCCCTTAAGAGTCCATAATGGCTTCTCTATCGCGCCGAGTCCGGCCACAATTTCGTAGAAGCCTGCAGATCGTTTCGCCATCGATTTCGGTTTATTCTAAACTCCCCTTATTGCGTTCCGCCGCTTCTCTCCGGCAGTAACCATCTTATCTCCGACCCCGTTTTTTCGCTTTTGCCCTTTTTCTTTGCGAAAACGCGCGCGGCACTTTATCGCGTCGTCCATAAATTCGCGATTACTCGCAGGAAATTGACGGGATTTCGACGAAGATAAATCACGCGCGCGTTAGCCCTTTGTACAAAATGTACAAACGCGTAATTGCTCCGACAGAAACGAATGCGATAACGAACACGCGCGCGCCCTCTCGTGAAACATAAACATTTTATTTTGCGTATTCGCGCAGTTATGTGCGCCTAGTTGCACTGACGCCTTTTGTGTTTCCTGCGGCTGTGGCCCACTTGGAGGCGCACGCGGTCGATATTGGCAATATAAGAAACCGATCTTTATACGCGAAATTTGCATTCAGGATATTCCCATTTCTATGCTTGCAGATGTGCAACGAATGGGCGATAGATACACCGTGTCCGGCGGGCGGCCGTGATTTCTGTCGATCGCTGCACATTCTGGACAGCCGAGGGAACAGCGTCTTGGCAAGCAGACTTTTTCCCCACTTGCTCTCGCGACACACAAGGACGCGCGCTCGTAACTCCGCTTCTCCTCCGATTTTCATGAATTTCGAATATATCGTCGGACGGCTCATAATAAGAGATACCTATGTTATCTTATACGCGCCTTATCGTGAATTTAGGACTGGTAACCTCGCGGTTATCTACTAACTCAACCGTATTTCATTCCAGCGGAGTATCGCTGGAACTGTAAGATACACGAAGAGACATTTATACGAAGAAGTTATACGATATTAAGAACTTCATAAGTGGGTATTTGTTCTCTTCACGCGGTAGGAAACTTTCGAATTTAAAACCCCTCCGCAATTTTTCTTCCTTTCCTATACTATCGCGAAACTTTTCCTCCCATCCTCCTCCCTTCCTCTTATGTATTTTGATATCCTCGGTCGATCAGGTCGAAGAGAGAGTTACGATCGGGTTGCCTTGGTCACGTGAATGAAAACCGCGCTCTTGGAACGAGACGGTAACGAAAACAATGCAAAAAAAACACAAACAGGGAAAAAACGAACTAACAATAACAAACGGTCGACACTCGCGCGCGTTCGGGGTAAATTCCATTAACGCCGAGCATGGGGTGCACGCACGGCAGGATAAAATCAATTAAAGGTTATCGTATTTGGCTAATTGACTTACATTAGGGGTATAATCGATTTTCGGGCTATTAATGAACGAAGTTACGCGAACGGATTCGAGCCTGGACGTCGAGATGGATGGCCCTCTCGAGCTTAAGCGCTCTTCTCGGTCGATGTACCAGCGCATAAACTTCGATGGAACTTTCTATGTTCTGACATTTGACGACGATAATGCGCGATAATTTAATGTCGCGCATCACCGGTGACAGAACCAACAATTTCATTAATAAATTACTCCCATCTACCTAATTCGCGGAATTACCGACTCGAGTGCACCGGGGACGTAAATGTCGAGTTTCCGCCTTCGCGCCATCGTGCTAATCCCTAAAAAATTTTTCCGTCTCGTGTTCCCGAGTATCAAAAGCTCCTTCTTCGTCGCGCGTTAATGCACACGCTACTCTCGCTTCCTTGCGTTTCAGGTAAGCAAGAGTTGCGCCAGCAGCGAGGAATGCGGGCCAGCGTCGGTCGGTTGCATTCCCGTGGACACGCAGCAGGTGCGAAATAGCGAATTTTGTCGTGTGCCCGGGGGGGGGGGG